TGCGTTTTAATCATCCGCTTCTGCTTCGGAATTGTCGGTTTTCTTGTTTTAATCTGACAGGTTAAAACGACTAAACCGACAATTCCGGAAGCAGAAGCGGATGATTAAAACGCACCTGATATTTTGCTTGCTGCTGTCAGTGTCAGTGAATGGCCGTGTTCATCGTCGTCAAACATGTTGTAACGCTGAGTAAGCGGTGACGATGAACTGTCAACCGCTGCAGCGCTTTTGAAGAAGCATAAAAGCGAAAATAAACTCGCTTGTTTGCTTTAAAAGCATAAAATTGACCTTGAACCCCTGTCAAATCCGTCTTTTGGCATTTTGTTAGGTTATGTGTTTGTTTATTTATTTATTTTTTTATTTATATTTTTAAGGTTTTATACCCTAATAGAGTTGATTAGTTAAGTTGTATTTTAATATAATATTGTATTTATGGAGGTACCTATTTGAAGAAAATAAAATTAATTCCAGACGTAGATACATACACGTATGCTTAAATTATTTCATTTGGACGTTAATGGGATTCCACCAGTAAGGAATATGGATAATATAACATACCTACATATTATATAGTTTTAGCACAGTTATTCAAAACAGACGAGTTTTGTTATCAAAACTGCACCGATGTTTTTGTTTTCATGTAATGTATATAGGGCCAAAAGGGCATTAAAAAATAAATAATAATAATAAAAGTATGACATTTTATTTACAAAATAAATTAAATATAAGCAATTATATTAAAAAGGGCCCACCTTGGTTTGTTGAACCTTTAAAAAAATACCTCATTACTGTATACATTTCAAATAATTTTTGCTAATAAGTCGCTCTACCTATATGACAACATTAAGTTTGTATATTTATTAATTTCCAATACAAAATATATCATTCCTATAAAAGAATTAATGTATATAGTTTGTCGATAAGGTATGTATAACTATAATACTAGACAAATTTTATTAATACATAAAAATAATTCAGACTCAATATGAATATTAGCAATGACCAAAAATGTATAACACCTAAGTACCTAAATCAAAAATACTTTGTAAAAAAATAAGTAAAGCATTAGATAGGGATTATTTTAACAATTTTCGGTTTTTGTAATAAAACGTTATCATTTCTTACCTCACAGCAAGAAGCCTGTAAATTTTAAAAGACAACAGCAATTTTTCATTATTTTTAATGTAGAATAACAACAGTAAGATTGTAGTAAAAGTAAAACAATAATATAATAAAAAAATGTATTAAAAATAAGTGAAATAACATAATTTTATGTTTATTTATTAGAAATTAGAAAAGCGAAATAAAACTTGTTTAGTGGGCTGATTTTCTATATTTTAGTTTTTAAATGGGAATGGAACTGTTGACGTGACTTGTTTATGTTATGCTTGGCTTTCAATACTGATACTTCAAATTAAGTAAGTTTTTTTCACTAGCACATATTTATATGAGATACCACTCTTTTTTGAAAAATGTTTTGAATCAGATCACGTTTTCTTTTAAAGCGGGACATTCTTTGGGGACAATGGAACACATAACTTGAAAGTGGGTTTGTCTTGCCTAAAGCGGGACTTATGATGTTAGGTATGACTCAAAAATAAAAGTTTACTTCAGGTTGATTTTCATTTTTATATCTTCCTCCTTTTTCGAATCAGTTAGTTTTGAACTGGTTTGAGACACATGCCTCAAGTTCTGGGCTGGAGTCCAGTTTAAATGATTACTAACTTTGAAGGAATTCTGTTTCCCTAAAAATAAGAAAGTCATACTTGATGTCTCTATTATTAAACACTTTTATGTATCCTTGATATATGTAAAAAGATCACAGTATGTTTTTATTTGTGTGTCAAAAAAATGTATTTTACCTTTAATAAAATGACTATTACAATTTCTTTGATTAGTCTAAGTATGTAGAATTCAAGATCCATAGAGGCAATAAAAACATCATGACTTTACAACCCAAAATAATACAAGTTGTAGGTTTTTCGCCGTAAAATTGTCAAAACCACTTTCAGAAGGGTACTTATATAAACTCTAATTCACTGTACAAATCAATTCAACTCAATTTTTTTTAAAAAATACTAAAGTAAACAATTAGGCATTCCAACGACCTGTCAAACAATAGTACCAGTGGGAAATTCTTGTATATTTAAGGGGGTAGCGACATAGTCTTGCAACTTGGACGCTATTTTTATTCGAAGTAGTACTCGCCAAGCCTACCAATTTATGAAGAAATGTATAGGTGGGTTTTTTAAATATTATTTTTATTGTGTTTGACATAAAATATTTAAATGTAATCCATTATTCATGATTTTACCTAAAGTAGATAGAATACACCATATGTCGCCACCCTTAGATATACCAAACCTGCCCACTGGTAATTCATTTGTTTGGAATGCCTAATTCACATAATGCATTTTCCTTTGGAGTTTGGTTCCGGTTCTAGTTAACCAATTAGAACCAACCATATTCCTTTCATAAACAATGACGTCACTTATAACCATTTGAGCTGTTTTTTAGCCACCACATTGGTTTAAAATATTTTTTAAACCATATTTAAAGTGACGTCATGAATTAATAGATGGCAAAAATAGGGTGTTTTAAAAATATAATCTGCTGTCATGACAAAATTTTTTTGATCGTATTTTTTTTAATGATTGTTAAATCAGATGAAGGAAGATAAGTGTTTGATAGCGATTTTAAGTAAAAATTGAATTGTTTTTAATAGGTACATTGGAATCTGAAACGTTATTATTTTATTTTTGGTATTTTTCTTGTCAATAAACATATGGTATCATATTTATTCCGTAGTTCCACAGATACGCGATTGTCTAACGATTATTTGCTGTAGATTTGTTGGGCTTTTCCAAAGTTCATCAACTGCCAAAGAACGTTTAATTGCTTTTAAATATTTGCTGGCAAATTTAGAATCTGAAGCAAACTACGTAATTATTTTTGTAAAAAACGTACAATTGATAAGTAATCCTTTAACCTTACTTTAATTGAATTATTGTTTCATAATCAAGAGTAACCCATAGGTAGATCACATTGTCCAACTGTTTATGATGACCATAAATATTAATATTTGTATTAAAACATTATAACCAATTAATTTATGAATATGAATCACATAATATATGTATGAAGTTATCAAAAATCAATAAAAATCAACAAAACGTCACATATATCAAAATGTTCAAAGATGGAACAGAGCAAAACAACATACAACAGCCACAATCAGAATCTCTTATGTGTCAACCGTTATTGAACCATATGCCTCCGACTGGTTCAAAAATTCTAGCTTTGGTTTAAAATATTTCGTACGCGACGTCATAGTTGCATCACTAAAATTTAAACGGTTTAAAACAGTCGAAAATATTTTAAACCATACACTCGCTAAAAAATACCTTTGGTTAACATTTTTGAACCAGCCTCGCGAGTCGGTTCTAATTTGCGGTATGTTCTATCCTTATTTAAATAGTATTCTTCTCATTGTCTAACTTTTTAAATTTAGTTTTCCCGCGGAATCTAAATAGTTCCGTACGAGGTCAACTAAGAAAATAGATCTTACTAGACACTTTTCTTATAAATATAAATAAGGAAAAAAGAACTTAGACAATAATGTTAATAAAAGTAAAATATGTAGTGATCGACAAAACTTCCTAGAAATGTTTAGTATTCGAGATGAAATCTTCAAGGGCGTGTATGTGTTTATTTTAACACCATTAAGATAAGTGTTGGACTGAAATGAGATTCAAAAAATGTGCCACTATTTTTCAAAAGAAGATTATCATTCTGTTTATCGCTAGAAAAAGGTCTGCATCGTTCGTTAAATGCTTTGTCGGTAGTGTCGGTTTTATTTCTATTTTATTTTAAAGAGTTTTAAATTAGTTAGTTGAGTTAGTATTATTTTCGTCTGTTAATTGCCATGTCGGTAGTGTCTATTTTATTTATATATTAAAGACTAGTTAATATTTTTTCTTCTATATCATATAGCTTTAGTGTTTTCTTTGGCAAATAACTAACTACACAAAAAAATTAAAAGAAAATAAAATTTAGAACTAACTTTAAAAATGAGTCACAGGTGGTATTTAAATTTACACCAAAATGACATATGACTGACCGAACCAATAACCCAATTCATTCCATTGGCTTTTGTTATGACGTCATCCATATGAACCAAAATCTGAACCGCTGTCAAAAATACTGTCAATTTAACGTCAACCATAACCAGAACCATACGTCAAAGGAAAACGACTATGACCTTCTTTGTGCCAACCAAATGTCATTCCATTTTTTGACAGATTTGAGGTTGAGAAAACAAATCGCAAACAAAAATGATCGTTCAGCGTCATTCCAACCGCTTATGAAACATGTTTCTTTGCTTTTAAAACATGTTTGACGACGATGAACACGGCCAATATTATTTTTGAAGTCACAGTTTATTGCTAAACAATCAGTTAGCTCACTCGGACGAGTTGAAAGTTCCAAAATAACATCCACTTCAGGGATACAAATTCAGGATACGCAGAAGACTGCTGTTTTATTATAGGCGGTTGTCATATATTGTATTATCCGAGTTGCACAGTGTATAAACTGAAACATTGAGATCCAAAGTGCCGACGCAGAGTGAGCGATCTGATTCTTTAGCTGTAAACTGTGTTACAGGGTTCAAAATGGCCGCGCCTTATGTTGGGCGTGTCGGACCTCTCTCTTGCCTCGTATAGTAATCAAAGTATGTGCAGCCAGCTCAACATCTTCTGTTATCGACTACTTCAATCATACGGATATGACACCTACTGTTATTTCATACGTTATCTATTCCCTGTTAGCATAACATAACAGATTCGTGTTAAAATTAACGTAAACGTTCAATCATAGGACCCATATGTTTGGTCTTTTACTGTTTAATAAAATGTGATTTTAGGCCGAATAGCCCTGGCAGCTGAGGCCTACAAAAATTAAAAAGAAGAAGACATGTGATTTTGTTTACTGTCATATTGTGACTGTCATATATCAAAACTAGAAATAGAATCCCAGAATTATTAAATTTATAATTACCTGATTAACTATCCTTCCTCCATGATAATTACTTTGAGTACATAGTCACCTCACCTGTGATTTTCACTAATTTTATTCCTAAAAATGCATGAGGCTTACCTAGTTTCGTCTCTTTTGAAAGTGACGTATCAAATAGAATCTATAGCAGCTTATGGTAAAACAATAATCTTTAACTTTTTCAGTTATTTAAAAAAAGTAAATTTTTAGATGAAAATCTGCTTGTTGGAACTAGACAGGGCCATTTATGCATGTATAGCTTACTAAGAAATGATGATAAATGCGAAGTCCAATTAATGAGATACAATAAATCATTCAGTAAGAAAGCTGTACAACAATTAGAAGTTATATCTGAAAATAACTTGTTAATTAGTTTAACAGGTAATAACAAATATTTGGATATTTATTGGATTGATTCCATTGAGAGAGTTCAAATGATGCTTCAGGGATTTCATGTTTTATTTTCATAGAAACTATAATCTATAAAAAAAATAATCTTGCATCAATTCACATTAACAGTGGTGTTAATAAAGTGGCACTGTCACAGGGTTTACACAACAAGGGAGCGCAATAGGCCAATGAGCGAGTTGCATAGGGATCTGAGCTGGGAAGAGAACTGCGTTAAAGTACACATGAGTAGCTTTACAAAGTACTCAAAAGTATCTGAGTATGAGTACATAAGTATATGAATAATACTCAAAGCAAATGAGTACTTTTGCAAATGTTAGTACTTTTAAAAAAAGTAACCACTGAGTATTTTTAACAGACTTCAAAAAAGGAGGAGGTTCTCAATTCATCGTAATATATATTTGTTTAGGTATGTTTAGCAATAATTCTTTACCATGTCCGATTTCTATGATTATTTTTTTGTTATAAAGGTGGTCCCATATAAATTTGGTTAAGATCTATTAATGACTTTCATAAGAAAATCATCAAATTGTTCATTTTTTATATATGTTCAGTGATAATTCTTTAGTACACTGTTCGATTTTTTGAATTTTTTTTTGTTTAAAATGGGGGTGGTCCCATATACATTTAGTCAATATCAGATGATGGGATCTATGATAGAATCAGCAAATCAACAAATTTTGTAATGACATGTTCATGATTTTGAAGTCAGTTTTTTAAAATTACTTCTATAACTTGTAAATAATTACAGTTAGTAATAAAGTTTAGAAAGAAGGAATTATAATAATTAGTAATTGTAAGTCAGTAAGTAACAAACGAGAGTTCACTTACCATTAATGTGTTTATTTTAATGTTAAATTAAAGTAATTAAGGTATTAGGTAGGGGCAAAGGTGCATAATATAGAGAAAACTCAAAACAGTCATATTTTAAAATGGATATTGGCATAATTCCATCCTGTATGGTTGGAGTCAATAAATTATTCGGAATTGCCTTAGGGTTGTGACAGTGATGGTAGTAGGATTTTTAAAATTAATGGAATTATCACATAGATTTTAGAATTGTCAGTTGGGAAATTTAAAAATAAGTCTAAAACTTTATGTTGAAGTTAAGATAGATAGATAGATATTAAAGTTGAAAATTTTATATCGTAGAGATGAAATAAAAATAGAAAAAGAAAGATGAAATTTTTATTTAAATTGAAGATAAGTGTGAATCGAATAGCAGGAGGGAGAGTTCAGTAGAAGGAGGAGTAAGAGGGGAAAGTAGAGAAAAACAGCAAGATAAGACCATCAGGCAGGAAATATAGAAAGTCAGGAGTTAGAGCATAAACCAGAAAAACCGGGAGCAAGAAGAAAGAAGCAAAGTGGAAGATTTAGATTTTTTTTGAAATACAACATTTATCGATTAGTATTGTTTTTGGTTAATTTTTTGCAGGGTTCGGAGGATATATATCAAGTGATATATATCATGATATTTATACCTTGATATATATCCGATATATTCGATAATTTTATTAAATTAAAAATTTTTTTCTACCATTCTGAACATCTGAAAATGTCTCAATACGCCCCTGTATAAAAGTATAACTAGCAATTTATATGTGTTTGTGTTAAAATATTAATGTTAACAAAATAATGTTAAAATCGGTTTATTTTATTAATTATTTTTGTTTTTTCTTCTTAACTTGAGTTAGAATAAACGGTTTTGTTGTTTAGAATATAGGTTTTTGTTAGTATGTTTGTGTTAAAATTTAAAATATAGTTTGTGCAAGAAACAGTACTGTTTTTTAAATTTTAAAAATGATATATATCAGAAATATATCAGATATATATCATGTGATATGATATTTATATAAATATCATGATATTTTCGAACCCTGATTTTTTGAAATTTTTGTAAGGCCAAAGGAGCCACAACTCTAAAAGCTCTAGAATATTGGAATGGTTTGACCTTTTCAGGGTAGAATTATTATAATAATACATGCGTACATTTGTTACTCATGCTTGCTACTTGTTAGCTGTAGGAATCAGTACTGAGTACTCTAAAATATAAAGTACTTGAAATTTTGAGAGTATCATTCTCATCAGGATGAAAGTACTTACCAGTATCAATTACTGAGTACTTTAAGTACATACAATTTTGAATACCATTTACTCAAGTACTGCCCAGCTCTGATAGGGATAACAATATTCAAACAAGATAGAAACAATAATTAATATATTTATTTTGTTTTAGATAATTTAATTCAAGTTCATGATCTTAATGCCATTCATTTTACAACTTTACATCAGGTCCAGAAGTCTAAAGGCGCAACATTTTTTACTATTAATATTAAGGTAGAAGAATTTGGAATTATTTTTACTGTATTTACATTAGGGTTCTACTTTTTTGAAATCATGGTATATATACATGAATCATTTTTGCTACAGTTCTTGATTATTGATGAAGAATAAAGGATTTCTTTCTACAATCATTAAAACAGCATGTATAAAGTATACATGCATAAAAAATATATTGAGTGCAGCGCCATCTACATATTGACCTATTTAAAATTAATTTATATCTAAAACTGAAGCTCTCTTAGCGCTCTATGAACTGGCTTTTACAGAATTAAAATATCTATTACTTACCAAAATATCCGGCCTGGGAGTTTTTATTGGTACACCATGTATAGTAATAATAAAAAAAGTGATATTAGAGTACTTTTTCAAGGCTAGTTCCTTTTCCACAAGCTTTACTGTAGATAGCCACAAATAGTTTCTGAGACATTTATAAATCGCCTGATTTTCCTATTAAAATTCCTCCAAATTTGATCTAAAATCACATTCTTTGCCCTTACAAATAATTCCTTTGTGATTTATCTGCACATGAATCTTATCTAGAGGTGTACTTATACTTGTAGGGTAGAATGCATATCACATCAGTATTTTCATAATGTAGGGTGTCATAAAGTTGGGTGTCAGTGTAAACCATAGAAATAGTATAGAAAGCCGATTCCATATATCAAAAATGAAACCATAAGGAGAAAATAGTGTGTCGGAGCTCATGCGTATAACGGTGCTGGCTCGAACAGGACCGGTGCAAGTTTTTTATTGATCGAACAAATAGTTGGCACGATGTTTCAGTCATATATTTTTAGAGATGATTCTATATAGAAAACGATGAAAAAAATCTAAGTTAAGGTAAATATGGTTCTGAAAGTGCTTATTAAAGAAAGATATGGCATAAAATATGAATTAGTAAATTTTCGGCAATCATTAGTACTGTAGTCACGAGATTTTGCTTGTGATTTGACATCTTATTTGATTTAGTATCATTTGCTACAACTATGTTGTTTTGAACTACTTAAAACATTTTCAGTCGAACGGCATACGTGATTCAATTTAAAAAAACTTTCCAGAATAAAACCACGTGTTCCGATTTTGACTTCGTTTATTATTAAACACCGAAGTTATATACAAAAATGTTAATCCACAATCTAAATTAGGTACTATCTCAAGAAAATCACTGTTACAATTAATTATTTAACCAAAAACTAAAATACTTTTTAGATACGTAACCAGAAATGGACTGGAACATTTATCCTAATATTGATTTTCTCTCTCCCTACTTAAAGGTAAAACTTAAAGCAATAACAAATTGCCTATCTACTAGGGTCGGTAACTAAACGTATATACAGAATGGGCGGATTTTGTTCATACTTAACATTACACTCGCGCACTGACATTTAACCTGGATTAAATATAACTATACATATAAATATTTACAAAAAAAGATACTTTTCCAAACAGGCAATCATTAGTACTGTAGTCACGAGATTTTGCTTGTGATTTGACATCTTATTTGATAGTATCATTTGCTACAACTAAATTTAATCTGGGGAGTGCAAAATACGGGGTAGTTGCTTTTCGCCCAGGAATATTATGTTCGACATTTTTTTTTACATTTTGTCAGCCGAGACTATGAGTCGTTACTTACAATTAGACAGAAAACTTTTCATGTTTACCATTTTCAATATAAATTAAAAAAAACTACTACATTTACTTGGTACATATTTTATTTTAATTTTGAACCCTTTTAAAAGGGTCTTTCGGTTCCATAATAAAAATTAGTCGCTGCTTACTAGAAACATTCTATACAGTCTAAACCAATTTATGGATTGTTTTCGATCAATTTAATACAAAGATTTAAAGTTTTTAGTCGATAATAACATTCCACATCAGCACATTGCAAACCTATTCTATAAATAATAAGAATAAACTTGTAAATCATTAATTTGGTAGTTATCTCACTTATATGTTTTTTTTTGTGTATATGTTCCATCGCTATCAGAAATAATAGAAGTGGCATCTCATTTAAAATCAAACGAAAATAACAGAATAGAATATTTTGGATGAAAAGATCATAACCTGCTTACTATTTTTAACAATTTTTAACAAAAAATCATTCATTGTTTTGTCAGATATCGATAATGTCTCCCCGTCGCTGGGCAGCCTCTATATAAATATACAGCTCTCTATTTACATAATTATAATTCTTAGGTAGGTTTAGATTTTCAGATATAAATCTTGTAATAAATAAAACAGCTGCTTAATACATTGATTACATTTTCATTAGCCAATGTAAAAATGTCTTTTATTGTACCTAGGATTTAATTAAACACTACAAAAAACTAAAAATAAAATGCCACTTTCATCGTGTAATTAAATAATAAACTACAAACGGTCCTGTAAGGGCAGCGTCATATAGTTTTGAAACACGGGATTTTAGTGCTATTGCCAGGTCAATATTGAATTTGTAGGTGAATCGCTTATTGAACATTAATACCGTATTTGTACATATTTTTGGGAATGTAATTACACATAAATATTATTAGTTGGTTATTTAAATGTTTATAAGTTATTTTGTGGCAATATTTCATAGATATAAACTGTTTAAATCATATAATTTAAAAATAAATTAATTTAAAATTCTTTATTATTGTTAGGTATGTTTAATATACTTGGGAACACTACAGGGACAAGTCATGCATATTGCGCAAGTTTCTAGACACACTATTTTGCGATGTCAGGCGCAGAGACGCGTTTTTATGCACAGTAGGTTTCAATTTCTGCTTAAATTTTATATTTATATTGGTCTTCTATATTATTTCTATGGTGTAAACAGTCAAGCCAAAAATTGCCACTTTTACAAAATATGTCTAATATACTGATACATACCCAGTAACAATCAAGTGGATTCCAGTATATTTTCATTTTAGAAGCAAACATCCCTGACAGGTGAATTAACTGTTCTGGTTCGAATGGCTGTAGCAGTTAAGAGAAAAATCCAGTTGTATTATTTAAAAAACAACGAATTTTTAACATTAATGGATGATATCAGTTTAAATGATATTCCTAAATCTTTGGTTTGGTGTCAAGAAGCTATTTGTATTGGTTACAGAGGAGAATATGCCTTATTACAGGTACAATTTATGTTTAATTTTAGTTTAATCAGTTTCTTTAGTAAGTTTTTTTTTTAGTTAGATGGCAAACAAACTGACCTTTTTCCAACAAGCAGTACACGATCAAATGAACCATGTATGGTTCGTGTCTCTGATACAACTTTTGCTCTGTGTAGAGAGTCTCAAACTGTTCTAGTCAATGTAAACGGAGAAACAGAGCGAAATAAGGCCTTAAGATGGTCAGATGTGCCTGTTATGTTAGCTTGGGATGAGCCTTATGCTCTTGGAATTTTGACAGACTCTGTTGAGGTAAAAACTAGTCATTTTACAATTCTAAGTTTGTATCTTTATAATTTTTCTACATTTTTCTATTTTAGATTTTGACTTTAGAGCCAAGCAGCTTGGTGCAAACTCTAACAGACCTTCCTAAAGTAAGGTTCATAGTATCTGCCCAAAAACAAGGTTTACTTTATGCTGCTTCCATAAGTCAGATATGGTGTATCCAAGCAGTCGATGTAGCAAGGCAAAGGGAGGTGCTTGTCAATGCTAAACATTTTCAGCTTGCCTTAAAACTAACTGTAAGCTACATTTTTATTGGTATATTCCCTCCCAGTCAAAAAAGCACAAGAAAAGTATTGGTTTTCATAGGTAACTTTAAAATTAAAAAATACATGAAATACTACCATTCAATATTTTTATAAAAAAAACCATAGCTTTTTAAATAGATTATAATTGGATGTAGTTATGCAGAAATGGTCCAATCCACAAATCTACCAGAAATGACTTGAGTAGCTTTTCGATATGTTGCAGTTCAAAATTATATTCTGCTGGAACGATCCAACAATTTAGAAGGATATTAATAGTGACAATCATAAATAATCGTTATATAATATTCTATTTTCATCTCGTAGATAATTTAACTTTAACATAATTTTTCTCAAAATATGGTTTGGGTGGATTGGATCATTTCTGCATAATTATGTCCAATTGTGTTCTGTAAGGATCGACTGACATATGCATGGCCGATACCGATATATCGGCCATAAATTTTTAATTATGAATATTTCACTATGACACTTAATTTAATTGCATTTACTTTTATTTCCAAATGAATTTGAAAACTATAATAAAAGATGAAGACCTAAGATTTGGTCATAGACATCATATTATCTAAGATAGACTCGCCCTACACACTGTATACCCAATACACCTTCTGTCACTGAACTATATATTAAACTGGAAGACCAAAGCCGATCAACAAAATCAAGCCGCATAGCGAGGTGATATTTGACACTTCGGCGCCAACATGTGCGTATCGAAATGTACTAAAAAGGATCATCAAAATTAAATTTAAAACTTATTACATTCAACTAGACAACTTTTAATTTAAGAAAATCACTTAAAAATGATTTTTGATTAATACGCAGCTGAAACAAATGTTCCTATAATAATTATTATTAAAATAGGGCGTTATTAATAAAAAATAATATAATTTATCATAGTACGCCCGTGAAAAATGTGACGTAGAATGCTTAAAATTGACAGTCTGGCGCACAAATTGTCATGCGCATTGACCGTTTTTTTCACCCATGTCGGCTGAGAAAATAGGAGTAGGGTTTATGTCATATAGCCATCCAGTTTAATATCAAGGTCGGTGCCGTCTGTCCGCATGTTTTACCAGACGGGGAAAGGGGAATCCTACGTCGCACATTGACGTAGTGTTTCGGGAGGGTTTACATATATTTTTAGTAAAAATTATTTAATGACCAAATCAATAACCTATGGATCTTCGGAATCAAAGGTAAATTTAAAGAAAACATTTAATTTATACAGGGATTAAAAAAAATACAATTTAATATATTTTCTTATAGTTTAAAATAGTAGGTAGCTCAAAGTGAAAGAACATTTTTGTTAGTATTTTATTATATTTTTTTTTTAAATACATGAAGAGCAAAGAGCAAGTAAAAATATAAAGCCATTTATTATTATATTTACATGGGTACTCTTTGAAAACCTTTTCTACAGGTCGAAAAAAGAATAATTATATTACCGGACTACCATTTTTTATGAAATAAAAAGCTATTAAAAGCAGAATAATTTTATTTCAGATATATAAATATACAAATATGATTTTTCTATTACATACCATTTGGGTTGCATGTCATGACACCTATTTTTAGAATTATTTGTGTAATGATATAATAACTCATTTAGGACAGTAATCAGCAATGATTTTATAATATCTGGACAAGGCTAAAACACATTAGCTTAAGATTATCAAGAGATACTTTATTTCTAATTTGTCCGAATAGAAAAAACACTAAAGGAAGCTTTTGTGACATTTCGAATGCCATTTTACTATCAATGGTTACTCCTACAAACACTCTTGGTGAAGAATCTGCTCAATAGATTTATTTAGTGTTATAAGATAACTGATATTTTGTAAAGCATATTTTGGAATAAAAGACAAAATAGCTATTTGTGTATTAAGAACAGATAGTAGCACCTTTGACAGTTGAGACAGAAAGTCTGTCAAAGAGAAAATATTTATTTTATATTTATTCAAAAATGAGGAAAAATACAATATCAAAACTGTTATCTCAGTCATCATTTTCAGTATTTGTGTTTTTCCAACTGACCATTATTTTGTTATTGAGATGAAAAACCGTACGAGTCGCAGATATATACAATTTTTCACCTAATTTCACGGGTATAATCAGCTGTACTACATTAACAGCTAGGTATCTAGTACGGTTTTTAAGCTCAATGCGCTAGTTCAGTGTGATGTCATTTTGGTTCCACTGACATTTAATTCTAACCAAACTTTTAACAGAAACATCAATAAATTTGACATATACGTTTTTACTGTTTTTATTTTATTTCAAAATATTGTTTACAGGTCATAAAAAATTGTTTAAAGGTATATTATTGGTAACTAAACGATTGTATATTTGATACATGCTATCTACTTTAGGAATATATATTAATAAAAGTGAAAAAAACGATATAATTTAGGTAAACAAAACGAACAAAACGCACTCAAAAAATCTACTGTCACTTTAATTGTCAGTGGAACCATAATTACATCATCACTGAACTAGCGCATCGATGAAGAGACAAATTTTAAACGAAATGGCTTATTTTGAAATGTCAAATTTGAGACTTGTACGGTTTTCGAACTCACTGGTTCAATTACAGAACACTGTTTGCAGTGAATCTTTTTCTTTAAGGATTTTACTATAAAACCAGAAATATAAGCAACTATATCCTGAATGTATTCGCTCAGAAACTATATAGATAGGTAATCATGGTCACGAAGCTCATTTGTAAATTCCAAATTTTTTTTAGTGACTGATTCGTAACACTTTAAATTTAACGCAATTTGGCTACTAGTGTTGCTACAATTCAAGATGCTGGTGCCATCTAAAGCAATTGCATTGGCAATTTTATTTGACTTTACTTCATTATGAATTAATAATTTTTATAACAATTTTGAAACAATCTCCATGTGAGATTGTTATTGAAGCATCTGTTACGAACTGCACTAAAAAAAGTATTTTTTTTTTCTTCATTTTTCGCCTATTCAACTACCTCTCCCAAAATTCTGTAAAATGTGATGATTACTGTATAATTTTAGAGCTTACATATAATAAAAATACCCATAATAAATACTGTACTTACTTGATAGGTATAGCATTATGTTTTAAGATGTGTCTACCACTTAAATTTTCTTAAATATCTGCCATACAAAAATGGTCAGAACATATACTAAGGCTTCTTTCATTTTCATAATGAAAACATCCTCCACCAAGTATAGATTTTGCAGCCAAATTCTACGATGAATAATTTCTCTAGGAAACCTGATCAGAAAATATAGAACATTATTATTTAAATAAACAATGCTATAAAGTGCTAAATGCCTTTACACTGTTAAATAAATTAAGCCTTATTCCCTGTATATGCCTACGTCTATGCTAACATAATCTTATTTATGAAATGACCGAATAACATTCTTATTCTGCATATTTCGGCACACTATACATTTCCTCCCCATCGTAAAAGTCCTTAATAAAAAGTTCAGGGTTTAAATTATTCTTGAAAACTACAAAAAACCACAAAAATCACAATAAAACTTGATCTGTCACTTTGACAACATCAGCAAAATGTCTTAGGTTGCCAAAGTTAAATGAATATATACCAAAATGTTTATATTCCCATATGATACACATGTAAAAATAGTTACTTATTAAAAGTCCTAAGTGATTGCAATTAATAAAAAACTCATATTGATGCTTTCAATTCTTTATTTCCTTTTTTTTATTAGATTGTATTAAAGGTAATAGTAACTTTTTAAATAAAAATTTAATGTTTGATATTTGATGAAAGAGATCTGACAACATAGGAAGAGCGTACCGTCAAAAAAAGTTGCGGACAAGTGTAATGTATACAAGGCGTATCTATTATCCGATATCTTTGGATTTGGTAGACATTTTTTAAATAAATCAGAGCAGTTGCTGGCGCTAATATCAATAATGCAACTTTAACACATTCGCGGACATTCATATTTTATGGTATGTGCATAATGGGACACAAGCGGCATAAGCCACAACATATATTATCTCAGTAGGGACACTGACGGCAACTGCCGTCAAAGGCTTAATGCGCTGTAAATACATTTTGCACGATATAACGTCAATTTTGTATATAGAACTATGTAAAGTGTCCCACTAGACACCTGTATGAAAAAAATTGTTTGCGAAATGTCATTGGTGGGGGGAAAAATTTGGTTCGGCCCTAGACAAAGTTTTGGCGCGTTTAGTTCAGATTTACGCATTGTTAGGGACTGTGTGTGCTAAACACTTGGCTTAGTACGTACCTAAAATTGACAAAAAACAAGAACAACAACTACTTAGGTGGTATGATGAGCTTAATACGAAGGTTGAATAGTCAGAATCGGATGCTAAAAACGCACACGAACCCTATAGTACCGACGATTCCATAGATGATCCTTAATACACTCAAAGTAATTCTTCATATTCTAGCGGTCGAAATTTCTCCTGATTAAAAAGATGGCGGGGAATTTGTTAAAACTGTACCAAAACGAACTAAATCCATGCCATCTAAAAAATCTAGGAAGATTACTGATCATGTTCTTGAGGCCATCCCTATACCAGAAGATTCTAAAAAACGGGGGAAATATTGTAAGTGCAGTAAGCATTGTTATATGATAAAAAAAAAGAAAAGAAACTGCGTGGCAGTGTCGGGATTGCGTCGACAAGCCACCCTTTTGTGAAAGAAAATGTTTCCAGGAATGTCATGAATAAGTGTCTTTATCTCTTTTTTGTTATTTTTACCAAAGCATTTTATATTTATTTACTAGTTTTAGTTCCATATGAATACATATTTTCTTTAAAAATGACGTTTTTCATTTTATTTTTATGCGGTATATGACGTCACTGTCATTTTGAGAATAAACAATGCTTTTCGCAGGACATGCCGTTATATGACGCAGTGGTTTTTATCTATATTTCTAATTCTTTGGAAAAATGTGATTTTAAAGCTATATATTTCGTTTCTC